CTATGGGACCTTATGGTAGGTATATGGTATGGTAGGGCCCAGGAATGAGAATTACCCCTATGATGGCATAACATTTGCAAAAGTAGACAACCCAAGGTATTGCAAATGGGGTATGTCCAGTCATTTTTATTAGCCACTTAGTCACAAATACTGGCCAAATATTGGTGGTTTGCTTTTTTCACACAAAAACAAATATGAACGCTAACTTTGGCCAGTGTTTTTAACCAAGTGGCTACTAAAAAAGACTGAATATACCCCATTTGTAATACCTTGGGTTGTCTACTTTTGCAAATGGTATGCCATCATGGGAGTAATTTTCATTCCTGGGCTACCATTTGGTCTCAAAGACAACATAACCAGTCTGGCAAATTTGAATGTGTAAAAACTGAAAAATGTAATGTGCTATGTTTGACCCTGTAACTTTCCAAAACGCCATAAAACTTGTACATAGGGGGTACTGTTTTACTTGTGAGACGTCGCTGAATACAAATGTGTGTACTTTATTGCAGTAACAGCTAACATTATTGTGACATTCACAGTTAATATGTCATGCAGAACTAAAAAAATTACATTTCTTAATTTCTCAATTTCTTTTTTTATTTTATTCATATCAAATTATGTTTAATATACAGGCATTTGATGTGACATGAAAGCCCTGTTTCTCCTGAACAAAATGACATATAATAAGTGTGGGTGTACATAATATGAAAGATGTGAATTACGCCTGAACAGACATATGCGCAAATTCAAGGTTTTGTTTACGTTTTGTTTAGATTACATCTTGTACAACTGCCTCAGTCCCGCACGGGCTAAAATGTCTTTTTTATTTATTTTTTATTTTTTTAAGGAAATCATTGGCCACTTTATTAGTTTTGAAAGGAATCATTAGCGATTGTACTTTTTCATTGAGTATGATTTTACATATAATGATAAATATGTCATAACTTGACAATGTGTGGTTTTGCCCTTTACCCCTTACCCTGTGCTGCAGGCATAATATAAGCCACTGAATCAGCTGACTGTACTGCAAATAATGATTTTCTGTCTCAGTAAGCATGCACAGCTTGGTGATAAAAGGTTGCATGGCATTGTATTAGCCTCCTTTTATTTCCTAATTAGAAGATGTAATGTTACCAACCAGTACCAGGATATGGCTTTTTAGAATAAAACACTACATTATATTTAGATATTTTTATATTGTTAAAGTGGAATAATTTTATTAAGAATACAATATGGTCAATTATCACGGGCGGCAGATGTCCAATGGATAGGAAATTAGTGCAGGATATGAAAGGTATTAGTCTGCCATTTGCAAACCCGTAATGACTACTACGTACAATAGGAATATATTGTTAGTGTTAATGAGAAAGTAGCTAGATGTCCATCATGTGTATGGTTTTAGAACATGATGTATTCAGATCTAAATCAGCAGAACAATTTCTAATCTCACTTAGCACTAGTCATACCTATGAACTGAAAACATAGGTATGCACAATTCTATTAGATGTCGCTGCAATGCATTTGCCCTCTAACAGTCTTTAGTCTTGAATTCCTCTGTGTACAACACAATACAAAATATCAAGTATTATTTACACTGTCAGGTAGTGATGTCCCGAACGGTTCGCAGAACGGTTTGCCGAACGGTTCGCCAAACATATGCGCTGTTCGGTCCGCCCCCATGTCATCATTGAGTAAACTTTGACCCTGTACCTCAGTCAGCAGACACATTCCAGCCAATCAGCAGCAGACCCTCCCTCCCACCTCCCGGACAGCTCACTAAGAATGCAGCTTCACAATGAATGTAAAATGGATGCTGTCCAGGAGGTGGGAGGGTCTGGGAGGGAGGGTCTGCTGCTGATTGGCTGGAATGTGTCTGCTGACTGTGAGGTACAGGGTCAAAGTTTACTCAATGATGACATAGGGGGCGGACTGAACAGCGCATATGTTCGCCATCCACGGCGAACCGTTCGGGACATCACTACTGTCAGGTAATACACAAATAAAATAATTAACACAAAATAAACAAAACAGCATTTTTCTTACCATTTTAATAACAGGCTAAAAGATACTTTTTAAGAATACAAAACACAAACAAGAACCTATAAGTAAAAAAAGATACGATACTCTTAATATTGACATTGTTCTAGTATATTAAACCAATTTGACTGTTTGTAAATGCATGCATTCTATTCAGAACACTGGGCAGTCTAATACCAGACCATACCGTATATACTCGAGTATAAGACGAGTTTTTCAGCGCATTTTTTGTGCTGAAAAACCCCCACTCGTCTTATACTCGAGTCAATGTCTGTATTATGGCAACTTACATTGCCATAATACAGACCACGACCGCCGGGCTCATTACTAGCCCGGCGGTCCTGTTGGTGGCTGGCAGCGAGCTGTTACTTACCTTTACAGCAGCTCCTGTCAGCTCCCTTGTGCTCCATTCTGGTCGGCTCCCTTCTCCTCCACTGTAAGTCTCGCGAGAGTCGCGGCATCAGAGCGTTGCCACGGGTTACCGTGGCAGCGCTCCGCATGGCACTCAGACCGCGAGACTTACAGTGGAGGAGAAGGGAGCTGACGGAAAGGTAAGTTGCAGCTCACTGCCAGCCCCCCTCCTACACAGCCCATGCCACTAGACCACCAGGGAACGAGAGCCCACCTCCCTGGCCATGTATCAGGCAGGGTGGAGGGACAAAAAAAAAAAAAAAATGTAAATAATAATATAATAAAATAAACAATTTAATAATATTAAAATTAAAATATTAATATTTAAAAAAAATAATAATATTAAAATAATAATAATTTAAAAAAAAAATTAAAATGCCCACCCCCCACCAAGGTTACATACTCTGCATCACATACACAAGCACACTCTGTATCACATACACACACACACACACTGCATTCATTCATACACACACACTGCATTAATTCATACCATTGGCGTGCGCAGCCTATTGCATTAGGGTGTGCACCCTACAGCACAAACACACGCCGCATGTATGTATGTATGTATATATATATATATACACACACACACACACACTGTTGTTTGTGTGTGTGTGCTGTTATGCGCTGTGTGAGGGTGCTGTGTGTGTGAGGGTGCCATTTGTGTGCTGTGTGTGAGGGTGCTGTGTGTGTGTGAGGGTGCTGTTTGTGTGATGTGTGTGTGTGAGGGTGCTGTTTGTGTCGTGTATTTGTGAGGGTGCTGGTAGTGTCGTGAATTTGTGAGGGTGCTGTTAGTGTCGTGAATTTGTGAGGGTGCTGTTTGTGTGAGGGTGATGTTAGTGTGCTGTGTGTGAGGGTGTTGTGTGTTTGTAAGGATGCTGTGTGTGTGTGTTTGTGAGGGTTCTGTATGTGTGCTGTGTGTGTGTGGGTGATGTATGTGTGTGTGTGCTGTGTGTGAGGGTGCTGTTTGTGTGCTGTGTGTGTGAGGGTGCTGTGTGTGTGCGCTGTTTGTGTTAGGGTGCTGTATGTGTGGAGGTGCTGTGTGTGTGTGGGTGCTGTATGTGTGTAGGTGCTGTGTGTGTGTGTGTGCTGTATGTTTGGACGGATTGTGAAGGTGGGGGCAGTTTAGTAAATATCCCCCCTCCCTTCTTACCTTATGTAGGGAGGGGGGATCCTTGCTGCCATGTGCCATCCCTGGTGGTCCAGGGGAGAGTGAATTCTAGCCTGCGAGGCTAGAGTTCACTCTTGCGAGATCTGAGCGTTACCATGGCAACGCTCAGATCTCGCGAGAGGAACCTGGCGGAGCTTCTGTCTAGAGCTCCTCGGGTCCTCTCCTGCCTCCCTTCATAAGTGCTGGGGTCAAGTGCTGGGGAATAAAGGGTTATAAAAAATTATATACACTTGTACATATATACATGCACACACACACTTACACACAGACACACACATATATATACACATGCGTACACACATACATTCATAGACACACATGCACACACACACTTACAGACACACACATACACAGACACACACACATACATTCACAGAAACACACACTTACAGACACACACATACTCAGACACACACATTTACAGACACACACACATTCACAGACATACACACACACACACACACTCACAAATAAAAAAAATTAAATTAAAAAATGTCTACCCAGCCTCCCTACCTGGAGAGCTGGCGTGGACTTGTCCCTGGGGTCCAGTGGGTCGGGCGCCTGTCTCCATCTCAGCCGCGGCGAGGGAGACAGGTGCCCGGCTGGGGGTGAGGGGGTATCACCTCTTAGCACCCCCCCAATGACAGGGGAACACGGGGGGAGGGGCGGCAGAGTGCCTGCAGGAACAGTGGGAACGAAGTTCCCACGCGTTCCTGCAGGACTCACAGGCGTGCCGCGGGGATAAGGGTGCACACTCCGTGCGCACGCCTATGATTTATACACGCGCACTGCATTATATACACACATTGCATTATATACACACATGCACACACTGCACTCATACACACACACACACACTCTGCATTATATACACACACACTGCATTCATTATATACACAAAATAAATATTCAATTAATATAATTTTTTGGGGATCTAATTATATTTAGAAATTTACCAGTAGCTGCTGCATTTCCCACCCTAGTCTTATACTCGAGTCAATAAGTTTTCCCAGTTTTTTGGGGTAAAATTAGGGGTCTCGACTTATATTCAGGTTGACTTATACTCGAGTATATACGGTATATATAATGATATAAAGAGAGAGCTGTAAACTGACTGATATACAGACTTCCAGGATGGAGTAGAATACAGTGATTGGTGATTAAAAGAACACTTGAAGCACCATAGCTTACGGTGCAAGGAGAGACCTGATAGCCCCCAGAGTAATTTGTAAAAATGTTTGACAACTTACCTATGTACCTGGATGCCTGTGCCACATCTAGTCTTCTCCTGCGAAAGTAGCCAGTAGAGATGTCGCGAACTGTCCGCGAACTTCTCGCGAACGGTTCGCCAAGAGCTGTTCGCGGCGAACTCCGGTCAGCTGACATGTCCCGGCCAATCTCCAGCAGACCCTCCCTCCCAGACCCTCCTACTTCCTGGACAGCATCCATGGGAGGGTCTGGGAGACATGGATGTTGAAACATGGATGCTGTCCAGGAAGTAGGAGGGCCTGGGAGGGAGGGTCTGATGGAGATTGGCCGGGACGTGTCAGCTGACCGGAGTTCGCCGCGAACAGCTCGCGGCGAACCATTTGCGAGAAGTTCGCGGACGGTTCGCGACATCTCTAGTAGCCAGATGTTTAAACTGAGCTAAGCAAGTCCAATACATGACCTTGGCCACTGGATGAGAGCACTCAATGCCTGCTTAGGCAAGTGGAGCTAACCATATTCTCCTACAAGGAGAACACAGAAGCAGAGGATATGAGTACTTGACTGGAGCTAGGCTGTAGTGGTTATGGTAAACCAAAACAATATATTGATAAACTGTGCTAAAAAGAATGATTTTAAAAACAACCCTTAACTGCAATACTATAAAGAAGCATGTGCACTTCCGTGATATGTCACTACCAAGTGATGCTCAAGACTTGGGCCCAATTAAAAGTTGGTGAGCATCATAGTGGCGAGATGTCACTTCTGAGTGACGCTCGAGACTTGGGCCCAATTAAAAGTTGGTGAGCATCATAGTCGCGAGATGTCACTTCTGAGTGATGCTCGCAAATTAGATACTATTAGAATATTGGCCACAGATGTCAAAAGTAATTGCAGGGTATACAGAGACTAGCTTGAAATCACTTCCAGGTGCTATTGTTCTCCTTTTATATGCAATAAAGTTTAAACTCTTTAACATATATTTTGAAAAATATCCTTTTTTTCTACTGGCTTTCGGATTCCACATATCCTTACAGGAGATCACATTACCAAAGCCATATATCAACAGAGGAGGTCCTTGCTCTATTATGTGTAAGTAATAAGTAGGATACCTTTAGATTCTATACAGAAACTATAATACATACTGTATTATTTTGAAATTTTTCCTTTTATATGTTCACATATTGTGCAATAATTGGAGAAAACCGAGCACTGTTGACCACCATCATTCACCATCTGCGCGGATTGCAATAGTTTTTAGTAGCTCCTAAAAGTGTGAGTTGTCTTTTATTACATTGTTCTAACTTCCACACTGTTACATATTGCACTATTTTTTGTTTATTTTCTCTTTGACATATTTCATACAGCACAAAGAAAATCCTTATTTCCAAGCCAGTTTTGTGAACGGGGTGTCACTGATTAGCTTAGACCATCTGCGGCGCACCTGTCCGGCTGCACTTCACACTGAATTTTCAGAAGCCAGATGCCGCCGGGGTTTGGCGATCAGCGCTGAAGGCAATTTTGGGGTTAGTGTTCTTGAACGGTTTAACCCCTAAAGGTGAGTGTGCCTGGGGTCCTCCTGAAACCATAACAACTTCATTTAGATAAAGTTGCTATGGTGCTTTAATGCAGCCTAAACTGTCCCTTTAAACCACTCTTTTTGGCACAGTTTATCAATATATTGTTTTGGTTTATTGTGTATTCTCACACGGTTTTTGTGTTTTCTCATGCGGTTTTCACACAGTTTTTGTATGATTTACTGCTGCCACTACTATAGATTATAGCGTGCGTCTATCTTACCTAATTGGTAGTGGTTATGGAGCTTGGACAATTTGCGGCGGGTGGGGGCCCTAAATAAAAAAGGGGGGGACCTGTTGTCCTCCCCTCCCAGCCCCCACCCGTGAGCGGCGGGTGTGGGCCCTAAATGACAATGGGGGGACATATTGTCCCCCCACCAATCCCCTCCCATGAGCAGCAATTGGGGTAAATAAAAATGGCGGGGACTTAAGAACTTTCCCACGCTGTGTAAAATGACAAGCACTCTGATTGGTTGGATTCCAAGCCAACCAATTAAAGTGCTCTGAGTCAAATTGCATGGCGTGGGAAGGCTTTATAAGCCTTTCCACACCCTGTGGAGCTCAGTCTGCGCTGTGCCCTCGCTGGGTGAAGATGGATTCATTTTTAGCGTCGGGTTTTGTTTTTTTCCGGCGGATTTTTATATATATATATATATATATATATATATATACACACACACATTTATTTGGCCTTTTTTGGGGCTGAAAAAAGAAGGTTTTAGAAAATAGAAGACTTCTAATGGTAAGTATGATTTTATTTTTCAGGTATTTAGTTTTATTGTCTATTCCCTCACTAATTTTAGGTAGGGATTAATTAGGTAGGGATTAATTTAATTTTATTTCAGTGAGGGCGGGGGAGGGGGGCGATGTCTGGGGGCTTGGTGACCACTTAGCCACTCATGGACACTTTGTTCCTCAGCTGGTCAAAGCTGGTCAAGCGTAGGCAACCTCCATAAGAGAAATAGTCCCTACTTTTGTCTTAACATTTAAAGCAAACTAGAGCAGACAAGAAGGAATGAAGAACAGATCCTGAGAGAGGGGGAGAAGAGGAATCGATTGGGGAAAGGTAAGTTCGGCATGACAGTGCCGCTTTAAGTCACCTCCATTTCCTGTGTCATGGAGGTTAGTATAAGAGAGGTTAGAAATCTCCCATATGCCCATACCTGCCATGGGTGGGACTTATCAAATAAACAGTGAGTATCCAGTGGGCCATGGGATTGTGGCCTGTAAAATAGCAGTGACATTGGGTGGAGGACTTTAAAAAAAAAAAAAAATTATGGGGGGTGGGAGATCAGTGTTCACCACCTTTAGCCAAACCATGGCAAGCAAGTGTAAGGCATTATATTACACTGTTTGAATTCTAACTAAATTGCTTCAGTTGGTTGGCTTGTGAGCAAACTAATTAGAGCATCCTAACAGAGAAGTTTCATTTCTCCTTCAACTTGCCTGGGAATATTCCCATAGTAAGTCTAAAGAGAATTCAGACTTGCCTGTCATAGAGCTTACACACCAACCAATTACAGCAATTTAATTCAAAGCATGGAATAACCATGGGGGATTAAAGTTTATTCACCCTCCATGTATATTTTTTAGTAGACCCCACTCATGGCCATGGATGTGGACTAGAGGAGGGATCCTATCCCTCCCCCCCCCCTCAGGGGCATTACTGAGGCAAATAGTTGATTCAAAATCCAGTCCTAGGTTTGAAAAAATTCTAATAATCATGGTCTAGATTTCAGCCATCCAACACAATTTATAGTATCCATTTAATCTGGAAACTTTGTATAGCAACAAGTGTCTTTTTCATGCAATAGAATATAATGCAGGAAACATATTTTCTAATATTGTTCCAGACAAAATATTATGCTACTTTTGAAGAACATTACAGGGCTGTACTTTTCATATGGAGATACAGTTAATTGAATTTTGTATATGTATATTTTCAACATATATTGAACGTTTTGTTGGGTATCTCTCTTTATTCTTTACTTTTCTATTTTGGTATGGCAATGGCTAACTTCTCAGTTTAATATATGTCGAAACCTTAGGGTGTCACTTGTAATCTAATTGGTAATTAAGCTGTTCATTGTGTTTTGGAACCTAGGCTTGACAAAGACCCTGAAGTTAGGTCGAAACGTTGTCAGTTCCACACAGGTCGAATACATCTCTTTGTTATTTACTTTTGATGCTGCTGCTTCTTATTTTTTTTTTACTATATGTCAGGTAATTGAAAGGAACACTTGCATATTTGCACCTAAATATCTAGTAGAGTGCTGGCCCTCCCTATTGTTTGGTAGCTGAAATTCGGACCAAATTCAGGCACACTTAAGGCCTGCAGGGCAAACTACAAGCATTGTTCACATAAGTTATTTATATAGCGCTAACATAACTTGCATCGCTAATTTCATTCTAAGAAAATATGTGTGACATACAGGAACACTAGGTAAAGAGGGATCTGAGAAAGCAAGCTTACAATCTAAAGGACTGTGAATTGTATTGAATCAAAATAGTCTGTGTACCTCTATAGTTCCTTTTAAAGGCAAAAGGAATGTTTTGCTACTCTATAGAAATTGTAATACTCTTTACAAAGTTCCTTAGGAAACTGAAATTGTGTTTATTTTTCATTTTCTATGCACAGCTGCAACATGTCATGATGTTGCTCCCAATTTACATATTTTGAGAGTCTCTTTATTTTCAATGCTTAACATTTTTTCTTCTATTTCTTTACTCACAAACTTAAATTGAGTGAAATTGCATTGAAGTCTTCACTTAACCAATTTTTCTCATTCTCCTTAACCCTTTGCTTATTATTAATCTTCTTATCGGAAACCTAAGAAACATTAATACTGCAGGGTGCATTTTTCAGATTTATTTCTGAATTCCAGATACAGTAATTCTGCTGTATCCTTCACAACCATACATTATATTCAGCTGGTCATCTGCGTGGTTGCCTAGATTGTTTAGTAACAGACCACACTGGTGTTACATTATTGTTCTTTAAGTGTGAAAAACAGATAGAAATAAATCATTCTTTACACAGAGAATCCTATTTCACACATATGGGAGACATTTTGTGGATAAGATACATGTATTATGAAGTAGCTGCCATGTTCTCAATGATGCACTACCAGGTCAATGACTTAGTTTAGAACCAGCTATTACCATGGCGATTGCTAATGGGGAAAACACCACTATGACTAAAACAAAGATTAAATATATGTTTTATGCAAGGGCCAAGTGTCCAATCTTTTTATAAAATATTCATTAATTTATGCATATAATTTTTCATTTTCTAGTCCAGGTTAATTTAAAAAAAAAAAAAAATACTTTCAAAAAAAAAAAAAAAAATCAATTATTAATATCAAGTGACAAAAGTTAAAAATGATTTACTTCACTTGACCGATATTATCATTGCATTTTGAATAGATTTAATGCCAGCCAAAATTCAAGCAGCTGAACCCAAAACAACAGGTCGACTGCTCAAGATTTGTGCTTTAGAAGCACATTTATTGACCTTTTTTAATTACTAACCCTGTAAGTAATTTAAAAAGAAACAATATAAAAGCATATGGGGTTCAATATGATCCCCATATTAGTACAAAGTAGCATCCCCAGTGGTGTATATATAATTAATGTAAAGGGTGGGGGTGTTGGATCAGTGAGTGTGAGCTCTGAATATAATAGGCAGGGGGGACTACCATTCTATTTATAATTACTGGAGGGGGACCTAATATCCACCCACCCCAGACCCTATCCATAGGCGGCAG